GAGGATCACGGAATCATTTAGATTGGAAAAACCCTCTGAGATCATCCAGTCCAACCGTTCCCCCAGCACTGCCAAGGCCACCACGTCCCCAAGTGCCACATCCACACAGCTCTGAAATCCCTCCAGGGATGGGGACTCCACCACTGCCCTGGGCAGCTGTGCCAGGAATGGAGAGCCCTTTGCATGAAAGGATTTTCCCCAGTGTCCATCCTAAACCTCCCCTGGCACAGCTGGAGGCCGTTCCCTCTCCTCCTGTCCCTGTTCCCTGGGAGCAGAGCCCAACCCCCCCCGGCTCCCTCCTCCTGTCAGGGATTGCAGAGCCAGAAGGTCCCCCCTGAGCCTCCTTTTCTCCAGGCTGAGCCCCCCCAGCTCCCTCAGCCACTCCTGGTGTCCCTGCCCATGACAGGGGGTGGAACAAGATGATCTTCCAGGTCCCTTCCAACCCAAACCATTCTGTGACTCTGTGAAAACACGGGGATACCGAGGATGCGAAGTGGCCCTAAAAGCGGACGGGCCGAGGTGTGGGGGGGGGTCCCTGTGCCCACCTGGGTGTGGGTGACAGGTGCTGGGCATGGTTGGAGGCAGGTGGGAGGGCCCCTCTGACTCCTGGTGTCGTTGCAGAGCCCCAGAGCATGCCACTGCTCGCCCGCTCCCCCAGCACCAACCGCAAGTATCCCCCCCTGCCCGTGGACAAGCTGGAGGAGGAGATCAACCGCCGCATGGCCGACGACAACAAGCTCTTTCGGGAGGAGTTCAACGTGAGTGCCTTTGCTTCTTGCCCTTCAGCCCCACAGGCTGTGCAGGATTTGGGCTCAGGATGCAGATGATCAGCCTGATCCTCAGGGGTTTGTGTCCAAGGCCAGGTTGGACAGGGCTTGGAGCAGCCTGGGATAGTGGAAGGTGTCCTTGCCCACGGCAGGATGTGGAACTGGGTAATCATTAAGGTCCCTTCCAATCCAAGCCATTCTATAATTCTCAGTAGTTCTTCTCTCTGGTGACCAGTGACAGGACCCAGGGAAAGGCTAAAGTTGTCAGGGGAGGTTTAGGGTGGACCTCGGGAAAAGGTTCTTCCCCCAGAGTTGGGGGCACTGACCAGACTCCCCAGGGCAGTGGGCACAGCCCCAAGGCTACCAGAGCTCAAGAACACTTGGACAATGCTCTCAGACACAGTGTGGGATTGTTGGGGTGTCCTGTGAAGGGCCAGGAGCTGGACTGGATGATCCTTGTGGCTTAGCATATCTTTCCAGCTTAGCATATTCTGTGAGGTGGGAGGACCAGTTCTGTCCCTGAATCTGCAGTGAGGGTGGACAAGCCGCTCCCTCTCACACCCACTACAGAAAGCAGAGGTTTTCTAGCAACCAGTACCACAGGGTTACTTTTTCTGGATTCAGGAATGGTCCTGGATGTCTTGGGGTCTTCCAGAGCTTACCTGCCTGGTGGTTTCCTCCCAAGCTCTGCCTCTCTCCTTCCAGTCCTCATGGCTTAAATCCACAAACAGCCAAAACAAGAATGACCCCATCTCATTTCAATGAGCTGTTAACCCTGAAACAGAGTGATGACGATGTATAGGACAAAGCTTGGACTTCAGCTCTGAGTAATAATTAAGGTATTGTGCTTGCCCCACAATCCCAGAGCATCTCTTCTGAGATGGCTCCAGCCTCTTCTTGGCGTTGCTGAGCTCTGCAGCTTCTTGTGATGATAAAACTGTTTTGACTTGGCATTACAGAAATGGAATAAAATGAAAAGAATAGAATAGAATAGAATCATTAAGGTTGGTGGAAAAGCCCTCTGAGATTGAGTCCAACCATTCCCCGAGCACTGCCATGTCCCCAAGTGTCACATCCACAAGGATTTTAAATCCCTCCAGGGATGGGGACTCCACCACTGCCCTGGGCAGCTGTGCCAGGGATGGACAACCCTTCCCAGGAAGAAATTTTTCCAATATTCAATCTAAGCCTCCCCTGGCACAGCTGGAGGCCGTTCCCTCTCCTCCTGTCCCTGTTCCCTGGGAGCAGAGCCCGACCCCCCCCCGGCTCCCCCCTCCTGTCAGGGAGTTGCAGAGCCAGAAGGTCCCCCCTGAGCCTCCTTTTCTCCAGGCTGAGCCCCCCCAGCTCCCTCAGCTGCTCCAGACCCAGGCCCAAGGCATGATATGACCCCATGAGGATGATGAGAAGGTCAAAAAAAAAAGCCACTGGACTGTGTCCAGCTGGTGCTCAACTTGATCCCCTTGCTGGCCGTGCTTCGATGAAACCAAATAGGTGCAGTGAGTGCCCAGGGAATGGGATTTTTTTATTTATAAATACCTGATGGCCCTGAAGATTTCCGTTCCCAGGCTGTCAGCTGGATGGTGAGCACCTCCAGAACGTTCTCTCTTCTGTGCTGTTGAAAGAGGATTTGGAATAACAGCGCTGGGGAAGCACCTCCCGTGCTCGAGCGTGAATCCCTGGGACAGTGTCACTTGTCACCCCAGCACCCCCAACCACAGGTCCTTGGTGCTGCTGGATGAAGAATAACCCCCTGTGTGGGTGTTCCTTCCCATCACTGGGTGGCCTCGGGCGATGGGGGCTTAATCAGGTCGCAATTAGCAGCACTGTTAATGAGGAAATCTCAGCAGGAGCCTCCGCTGGCAGAAATGATCTCCTCGGTGCTGGCTGGTGGGTTTGGAGCTGGAGGCTTTGCTGCCACCTCGTGTTCATGGAGCCAGAGAGCCAGATTATCTCGTTTCCAAAGGGATTTGCTCTCTCTGGTCCAGCCCAGCTATTTAAATAGTCACTCTGAGCTCGGTGGGGAGGAGGAGCTGGTTCTGGAGTGGAGGTGAGGGGTGTGGGGACGTATCCAGAGGGATGGGATGCTCAGATGTGACATGTGCCAGCCTGTTGTGGTTCTTGCTGCGCTGTGAGATCACAGAAAACCCCTTTTTTTCTGCCATTTCAGGCTCTCCCAGCGTGTCCCATACAGGCCACATGTGAAGCTGCTTCCAAGGAGGAGAACAAGGAGAAGAACAGATACGTGAACATTCTGCCCTGTAGGTATCGGAGCTGGTCAGGTGTGTGTGTGGGGGGAACACATCCA